GGGTCGCTATGAGTCGCAAGCGACTCGACGGCACATAACAACAACAACATAATTTTTTACATGAAAGATCTCCAGGAAATAGTATTGGTTGAAATATAAAGTAATACACAGAATATGAGCTTATTTTGAAAAAATCATATATATATAGAGAGAGAGAGAGAGAGAGAGAGAGAGAGAAATGTGCTATAATCTCTACATATCCATATGTCTGTATTTAAACACATGGGAAATGGCCCTGGATGGATTCTCAATTCACTAATAATCAGAGTGACATTTAAGAATGAATTAGGCACTAACAAAGTAGTTGAGGGAAACTCAGATTCCTCATAACATCCATTTTTTCATAGAATCTGTTATGTATTTTTTTGTTTTTGAAATTATACACTGAGGACTATATAAGAACTCAATTTCTATGTGTACAATTCAGTGACACTGAATACATTCTTTAAGTTTTACATTGTATTTTAATTGTTCCATAAATTCAGTGTCACCCAAGTTTCCTATATAGCCTTGTGAGCTGCTTTTGTCCATTGGATCCTACATAGACATAAAAGAATATAATGTTCAAGGCAGACAATCTTTACCAGTCAAACTAAAGTTCTGTTCAGTTTTGAGGGATATTATTGGTTTAAATACTTTAAAGATCATCTCAGGGTTATAGTTTCAGGGGTTCATTCTGCCTTGATAACTCTAGAAAGCCTGTATTACTTAAGGATTTTAAATTATGTTCTGTATTTTTTCCTCTTTTAATCAAGATTCTCCTAGAGAGTCTTGACTCAAAATATTTAGTAATGGCATCTGGATGCCATCCAGTTCTGTTCTCATGGCAAAGGAGGCAGGGTTTATGGAGAAAACTAGACACACATTCTATTTCCTCTTCCTATTCCTATTATTCTTTTGCTCCAACCTTCCTTTTTTTATAGGGGGAATGTGTGTAAGCACTGCTGTGTAACTGGAAATTCATTTTTAGAAGCAATCACAGACCAAAACAGAGTCACTGCTAAAGACATATTTGGCTCCTAATTTTACTTCCAGGACAACACTCACTAACATCACCACCCCCTTCTGCTACCAAAGCAGAGATTGAGACCAGATAGGATGAAACCAAGATCTTCTCCAGACCAATAAACCAGCAGCAGACTAAAGCTATTAATCTGAAAAGATTCACTAAATAGAAGGTTCTTAAATGTACCATCCCATTCCACACGAGATTTTCTTTGTAACCAGCACGAAATAGTCCTCATTTACTGAAGCTCAGTTGTTGCTGAGCAACCTGAATGGAAGGATTTTCTCTGCAGCAAAAGGTTTACAGTTTTGGAAAAAAGGGAGGGGGCATCTCAGGAGCAAAAGGTTTACAGTTCTGGGAGAAAAAGGAGGTGGGGTGGGGAGAGTGCATGACCACTCTGCCAAGATAATAACAAAAAGCTCAAGTGGGTATTTTTCCCTTCTCATATTGTTTTTCTCTCTAGAATCATGGAACTGGAAGGGTATCCTGTCAGGAATAGTTCTTGTGAGAGGAAATCTTCCTTTGGGATTTGCACGGCGATATGCAGTGCATAAATAGCAAGGTAACACTTAATTTTCTGTATGCAGCCATCATTAATTCCTGTGATATCCTGACAAACGCCCTTAGTCGCCCCAAGAAAACCTGTTGAAGTCACACACAAGAAACTGCCTGGAAACCAAGCATTGTTATTAAATTGAATTAAGTGTTTTATACATCACTCGTTGAAAAAGAAGCTGCATGACACATACACCAGGCCAGAAACTGTAGAAATACTTAAGGCTTTGCCCTCCCCTAAGTCAGACTTGTGTATGTCTTCATTCTGTAAGTGGATCACCAAATGGAATATTTGAGGTAAATATGGATTATTAGAAAGTGAGTTAAATAATCTTGTCTGGCCACCTCTTCCACGATGCCATAAACTCTCAGAGGTTATAAATTACCTTGAAAACTCTGCTGCTCTCTGTTCAGCATGTCACTCACTACTCTGAATTTTTCAGGACTGCTTTGTTTTCTTTTTTTTTTTTTTTAAAGAAATCTCAACTCTTTCTTTTTTAATTTTATATGTGTATGCCACCACCAAATCAAATCTGACGGGTACAGGAGGAAACAGTCCCCCCTTCTACAGCAGAGAATCTGGTGGATTCAACCCACGTACCTCTGGGATTGCAGTGTAGCTTCTTGCCACTAGGCCACCAGAGCTCCCTTTATCTTCTAGTTTTCACTGTTACTTATAACAGCTTTTCTGTATATTACCTAACAAAAGCACAGAACAGGCAGCCGCGTGGTCGTCGCCATGGCCGCTGAGTGGGAAGCCGGCAAGCCCGGGAACAGGAAGTCCTTCAAGCTTCTAGGAATTTTAGACGTCCAGAACATTCCCTGTGCACGTGACTCAGTACTTTATGGTTCGTTAGGATCTGTTGTGGCTGGCCTTGGACATTTTTTATTAACGAGCAAAATTAGAAAATCATGTGATGTTGGAGTAGGAGGATTTATTTTGGTGACTTTAGGATACTGGTTCCATTGTAGGTATAATTGTGCAAAACTAAGAATCCAGGAAAGAATTACCAGAGACGGCATTAAAAATAAGATTTTATATGAAAGCACCCACCTTGATCCTGAAAGGAAAACCAAGGGCAGCACAACAGCTCAGCAGCCATAAGCAGAGATCATCAATACAGCTCTCAGACCAGCGGACAGAGCCGAGATCAAGTGCACAAATCACCCAATTATGTACAAAGGAAATGAAGCCATCTTCACTTCTATCAGTACCTGTCAGTTACTCTGGTGGCCCTGTACATGTTACGTGCCTCACTTTCTGAGAAAGTAAATTTAATTTACTGGCAGTGTGTGCCAAGAATAAAACTGTAAAATCTAGTACCACGTGTTCTTGGACTGAGGGGCAGGGGTTAATGACAAAATGTCAAGATGTTCAACCTTCCCCAGCAAGCTTAGTCAGGATAAAGTGATTGGGGCAGCGGCACAGGAGAGTCCACAGGATGCACAGCGCAATTGAAAGGTGGACTTTTCCTCCACGTGTACTTACAGTCTCCAGAAATACCGGAGGGTCAGCATTTGGGGGCCTCTAGGTTTGCACTGATGCAGAATGAGCAAATACTCACCTGGTTTCTAAAATAATTTTTCACTTTTGGTTTTAACATGAGCATTTCAAGATTTTTAAAAATACAGCCACACCAGGCCTGGTTCCAGTTCAGTGCAGGAATTAATCCATGTGCACACTTGTGGCTGTCCTTTTCATGTTTAGGTTGAATAGTAAACAGTGTTTGTGAAACCTAGAAGGGAGTAAGAATTTGTCTTCATTCTATCTTAACAGCTTCCAAGGAAAGGGTCTGGGCACCACTTAGGTTAAGGACCTGATTCACAGAGGTCCTTGCTTAAACTGGCCATGTCCAAGTTATTAGAAATGTCTTCTAAAACACCCATGTTTCATAGGAGTAGGAAAAAAGTAGTTGTACTGATAATGTTAATATACTAGTACCCTCCTAGATGCAGGTGCTACATCGATTCAGGAAATGTAATCTTTTTAGGGTCCCTTTCTAGCTCTAGGACGTATCTTACCCTGAGTGAGAGAAACCACTCTTAGCTGGTAAAATGTCCAAGGTTTTCACCAGTTGTTTCATTTCTCAGCAGAATGTAGCAACTGCAGACCTGAATAAAAGCAGAAAATTGTCATTTAAAAAAAAAGCACAGAACAACAAAAACAAAAAAAAAACTTTTATGCAAAAGGATATTTTATGTTTTCTATTTTAAAGACTCTTGGTTGAGAGTTACTGTAGTTTTTAAAATAAGTATCAGGCTTACCAATACCTGTGAAATACAACTCTACGGCCAACACATTTTACCAGATGCAATACTAGTTATCAGAAATGGCAATGGGAATTTAAATAACTAGGAATAAGATGCAGAACAGATGAATCTTTTAAAAGCAATCTCCATTAAGTTAATGGGATTGAGGACTCTTTTCAATAGAAGTTTTGAACCATATGATAGATGTAAAATAGGAAAGTAAAAAACCATTTAAGTCATTAGATACAAAATCCAACTTGAGTGCATGACCCAAAAGTGTTAAAATAAGGGGATGACAATTTATTTTAATTGAGATGCATAAATTAGGGGGGTGCTCTGGTGGACTAGTGGTAAGGATCTGATCTCATACCCAAAGGCATGCGGTTCAAATCAACCAGCTGCACCATGGGAGAATAATGAGCAATCTCCTCCTGTGTGATTAAACTTTCTCTCAAAACCTGCTAAAGGGTCAGCTATGAGTCACTTCCGACCCAAGAGTCACTTCCGACCCAATGGTACACACCAGAACAATAAGCACATACATTCCTTTTGTCAACTAATTCAGAGTATTTCTAAAGTATTTTTATTTTATTTCTATTTTATAAAAAACATCTTGGTGGCACAATGTTTAGGTCGTGGACTATTAACCAAAAGTGGTTCAAATCCACCTGCAGCGCCATCTGAAAAAAGTATGGCTGTCTGTTCTTAGAAAGATTACAACGTAGAAAACCTGCTGGGCCAGTTCTATTATATCACTTAGTCACTGTGAGTTATAATTGAGTAGATAGCATTTAACAACAGTATATTTGATCAAACTAATATATGAACTTATGTTGCTTTGATTAACGTCAATAACACCTGTTGTTGTTGTTGTTGTTGTTTAATGCCGTCGAGTCATAGATGACTCATAGCTACCCTATGAACAAACAGCCTGAACACTGTTCGTACATAGAGTTTCCAGAGGCAAGCCATTTAGTATAAAATATTTTCAACACTTCAATCTGTTGTGAAGGAAATTATACATGTATATATTCATATATGTGTATACTATGTACATATACATAGCAGACAAATGTGACAGGAAAACTGTCAAATAGAAAAGTAGATAACATTAAGATAAAATTCTGAGAGAAAAATGGCAATAAATGGAATTTCCAGGCAAGAAAAAAAATTAAAAAGTTAATTAAATTTTTTATTGGTTTTGAAGACCCTTTAACCCTGGCCCCATCTCCATGGCTCCATCAGGCTACACCTTGCCGCAGTCTTTCTACAGTTTGGTCAGTTCTTTCTTATGTTGGCTTTACAGCTGTTGATGAGGTTGAAGACACTGATCAATGGGTGAAACGTGTGTTTGTAGTTGAGGCAGCAGGAGACCATGCCCCAGGAGGAGCTAAAGCAATGGATATAAAGGCCACTTTCAAACGTCCTAACACCACAGATGGTGGGACTTCATGTCACACTCATTGGACATGTTATTAGGAATGACTAGTCTCTGGAGAAGAACATCATACTTCATAGAGGGTCAGTGAAAAAGAGATCAATACAGTGACGGCAGCAATAAACCCAATCACAGTAGAGACTGTGAGGAGAATGACATAGGACCAGACAACGTTTTGCTCTATTGTACACAGGATCACTATGAGTTGGAACCAACTCAATGGCACTAACAACACAACCTGGTTTGCATCCTCTGACTTATATTACTCCATGAAAGATTATTCTCACTCTAGTCTTCCCAGATGTGATTATCCTGTCATCTTAAAATCTTCCTTCCTATGTGCTGCCACTGTGGTGGTTCTTAATAAAGTCTCAAAATCAACTATGTACGCTAGGGAGTTATATTTCTAAAATAACAAATTTGATGTGCTAATCACAGTTTTCCGATACATATAAAGCCCTGGTATCACAGTGGCTGGACACATACTTGCTAATGGGAAGGTCAGTTGTTCAACCCACCAGCTGCTTCATGGGGGAAAATGGGGAAGTCTGCTTCAAAATCTATTAGTCCCTATTCTATTTTTATGAGTCAGAATTGAAGAGATGGCAATGGGTTTTGTTTGGTTTATTTATTTGTTTGTTTGTTAAATACATAGAAAATTAACAAACTTTTTAAAATAAAAAAAAAAAGATCTCCATTGTGTCAACTAATATCATTTGATGCATCCACCAGTGAACCTACTAGGCAGTTTGGTTTAAACTTTGTCTCCTAATGGGCTAAAGTCTTTAATCATCCAAAATCTGATGGGCATAACTGATTACTTATGAAGGGATTGGGGCTATGCCATCAATCTAGAGAATTTAAGTCTGTCTCCAAGCTCACAGAATGTGTCAATTAGAGGCCATTACATGATCTTTTTCGCCTCTTTCTCAACGCCTAGAAAGAACCAAAACTACCGTCTCTGTTGTATATATTGTATATTGTTTGTAAGCTTCACATAGTATGTTTCACTTGCCACTCTATCTGGGCAATGGGCAGTCATAAAAAAAATAGACTTTTAGTGGTACTAGAATATAGACTAGAAAACATTCTCAATGTTTCTTTTGTAATATCCGAGTTAAAATTGATCAATGAAAAAGAAAATAATTTACATAAAGCCAAGTATTTGGTAGTGGCTTTATGTTTTTACTAGTAAGAATAAAGAGAAAGAACAGAGGTAGTAAAAAAATTACTTGATGACTCTTTGGAAAACTTAAGCAATCATTGAGACTAGCAAGTTAGAATAGGGCTTGCGTCTTTTTTCCCCCAGTTAATTACATATAGATATATACCTCAGCGATATTGTGGGTTCAGTTTCAGATCACCACAATTAGCAAATCAATTTCTTTTTTATTTCCCCAAAATGAAATTTTTGTTTACACTGTGCTGAAGTCTATTAAGTGTGTGCTGTTGTTAGGTGCTGTAGAGTCTAGTTGACTAATAGCAACCCTATGAACAACAAATGGGACGATTTGTTCGATCCTGTGCTATCCTCATCATCTCTGTACGCTTGAGCGCATTGTGTCAGTCCATCCAGTTGAGAGCCTTTCCCTCTTACGTAGATTCCCCACCTCTCCAAGCATAATGTCCCTCTCCATGGAGTGGCCTCTCCTACCAACATGCCCAAAGTATGTGAGACTAAGCTTTGCCAAAGAGCACTCTGACTACACTTTCTCCAAAACCTATCCGTTTGTTCTTTTACTAACCCATAGCATGTTTAGCACTCTTTGCCTACACAACCGCTCAAAACATCAATTATTCTTTTGTTATCCTTATTCATTGTCTAGCTCTCAGATGCATAGCAAGTGATTGAAAAGATGATGTATCTTGATTCTAAAATTGACATCATTGCTCCTCAATAATTTGTAAAGGCCCCTAACTGTATACTTTCCCAATGTAATACATCTCCTGATCTCCTAACTGCTGGTATTGATTGTGGGTCAAAGTAAAATGAAGTCATTGTCAGTTTCAGTCTTTTTTCCATCTATTATGATGTTGCTTATTGGTGCAGTGGTGAGAATTTTTGTTTTCTTGATGTTGAGATGCAATCAATATTGAAGTATTGTAGTATTTTATCTTCTGCAGTAAGTGCTTCAAGTTCTCTGCTTTCACCAAGCAAGTCTCTGCTACCTGCATAATTAGGTTGTTGATGAGTCTTCTTCTGATCCTGATGCCATAGTCTCCTTAATAAATTGAGCAATGTATATAATTTTAAAAAAATCATAAAGTGTGTGAAAAAATTTAAATAGGGTGGTAATTACTAAAATTACAGAAATATGACGTGGGCATAGGCTGTTGGGAAAATGCGACCCAAACATCTGCTTAGGCAGAGTTACCACAAATCTTCAATTTGTAAAACAAATCATATTAGCAAAATTAAATAAATTTAGTTGTATTCATGGGAGGTTTTCTTCCTATTTGCTACTAAACCTCCTCAGTATTCCTAGAGTATGTGTGTGTACTCAAAATATTGGTTGTTGTATGTCATCAACTATAATGAGCCTGTAGGTAGGAGTACAACTGTCCCTCAGGCTTCCAAGGTGTTAACATTTAAGGGAACAGACTGCCAGATCTTTTTCTCTTTGGAGCCACTGGTAGGCTCAAACCATTGACCTTTCAGGTGAGTGGTTATTGTAGATCATTGAGTCGAAACCAACCTATAAGCTGAACCTCTATCAGGTTTCAAACCATTCGTCATTGAGTTTGCAGCACAGGTTGTCAGTATGAGGTCATATTGGAAATGATAAATAAGAAGAGTAAAAAGAATCTCAACTCTCCTTCACTGTGGCTAGTCAGAACTGACTCAGAGTTGACCATCTATGCATAGTTGGCCCATAGTTTTAGGGAGGCTGTAAATGGCCCCTGAAGAGATTGCCCATCTTTCTTCAGTGGAGGTAGCAGTGGATTCAAACCACCAGAAAGGCACCTCCTTTGGATTCGCAGTGCAGCTCCCTACAAATGACACCACCAGAGCATATTTCTATGGTGAATAATTTTCAAAAGCACAATGAATGGGAATGAATGTATGAAACACAATGTGACTCAAATATATGGTAAAATACAATATTTATCAGTTTTGTATACATGCCAATATAAATTTTTTTAAAAATGCCACCAGAGTGAAAATGAAAATCAATACACTTAATGTGTCTCATCAGATCCTCTTCACTTGCTAGCAATAGACTACAAATTTGATTCAGCAATTTAGCCAGTAATAAAAAAGAATAAACCTGATCAGGAAAACTTTGTCTAGCAGTCCAGAAACATGTATTTTAATCCCAGCTTTGAAATTATGTATTCACCTTGAATAGAAGTCATTGAACTTTTTTATCTCTTAGTTGTCTGTAAAATGGTAATGATGGTCTCTAAATCATAGAGTGATAGACCACACAAACCAAAAATTTAGCAAAACATTTGTCATTCAGCTAATGTCTACTAAATGAAGTCAGTTAAACAGCTCCTATGACCCATGGAATAAAAGGTAATATGCTTTCTTGGGGTCACCAAACCCATCATCAATACTGGCAGAACGCTAGTGACAGTGAACTAAAGGGAGGAGAAATCTCATACTTTCTTCAGCAACATCTCTGGTTTTAACCAGTCATTATTTTTAAAATAATAATTTTTACATGGCAAAAAAATTGACAGTGGTTTCATAGAAAATTTGGATCTAAGTCTGTGTGTGTGTGTGTGTGTGTGTGTGTGTGTGTGTGTGTGTCGCTCCCTCTCTCTCATTCCTTCTCTTTTCATGTGTGTAAAGGCACACATATTGTGCTATTATTTTAACTTAGTCGTCTCTAGACCAAAAATGAAGGAACTCTGATGGCCTAGTGGTAAGGAGTTAGGATACCAACCCAAACGCAGGTGGCTTGAATCTACCAGCTGCTGTACAAGAAAAAGATGAGCAGTCTCCTCCCATGCTATCTATAGCCTCTGAAAACCCATTGGAAGATCAGCTATTACTTGATTCAGATTCTGTGGCAAATTACAATAACAGACAAAAAGTTATTCATTCCTTCACAAATTTGCATGGGTGTCTCCAACATTGACCTACTTTTCTGTTTTCTTCAGAAAGAAACTGGACTTCCTGGCTCTGCTTTCCTCTCGTAAACTTTCCATATATATGTGGAAATGGAGCTTTTCCTGGCTGACAGGGAAAATGGATCACTTGGATTTGGTTAACAGAATTGTAATAGCTCAATTATTGACAGGTGTTGTACTCTCAAGGTAGGCAGCAGATTCCCTCATCTGATTTTCTGGGAAAATTTTAGGCCTCGTACACATCATTCAGCTCCAGGATCTACTGGGAGTCCAATTAACACACTCAGCATTTCATCACCCCACTGAAACCTCCAAGTCCTGAGCAGTGATTGCTTCCACACCCCAGCCTGGAGTGTATCAATATATAAAGCCAAGCCAATGTGTGTGAAATCTTTTCAGTACATTCAATTGTGGCATACACGTGCAACCAGAGTCTTCTAATTGTTCTCTATAGTGTCCACAAGTCTGCTTCCTCTCTTTCCATTTCCCTCCATAACTCATAATACAAATAGGTCTGACATAAGGGAACAACACCTCACCCTCCCTGGTGGTCTGGAAACAATAAAGTCATGACTAATTCCCACATGCGCCTAGTTTTATCTGCAACAGAGCAACACCACATGCTGCCTCCAGTGTTAGCGTCCCTCTGAGACCATAAAAGACATGACTAGAGACCAAAGTCACATTTTCCCACAGGGGCCAACATTATCATATTTCTCAGAAAGTTGCATCTTTTTTTCCTAGAACTCATAAGAAATG